ACAATCTAAAAGCCAAAAATAAATAAGCAGCAACCAGCAAGCCAGCAACAATCATTCTTCAAGGCGCCAGACCCATATCAGCCCAGCAGCAACCCAACATCAACCCAGCAGCAACCCAGCAGCCCAGCATGGACAAAATCTGCAATGGACAGTTTCATTAAACATTCAACACTTGATACTGATGCATTTTTCGTATAGGAAACTTATAGCTCAAAAGTTAAAACACCAACCATGAGCTAGTCCAGCAGGTTGACCTCAGCAGCAACATCTTCATCTCCTCTCTGCTCCCCCTGAGTTCCAGCTCCATCTGTTACAAAGCAATGTATTTAGTAAAGAACAGAAACCTAAGTTAATAAACCAATCAAATCCATACAAGGACTTACCTATGCACTCTTCCACCGTGGCATCCTCCATTGCCATAGCCGAGAACACCCCCTCCAGCGCTTTCACGTCCGAGGCAGTCACTACAAAAGAATGGAGGAATTAGTTGACTTGTAAAGAATTAAAGAAATTTAAACCATGGCAGGAATTAAACAAGCAGAATACCTTTGTTATCGTCCTGAATCCAAGTCCTTAGCATCATCATGGCTTCCACTGTCATAGGATCAAGTCTGCTCCGATGGGGATCAAGCAGTCTCCCACCAGAACTAAATGCAGATTCAGATGCAACACTCGTAATAGGTACAGCAAGTAAATCCCTTGCAATTTCTTGCAAAATGGGATACTTGGCACCATTGAATCTCCACCAACCCAACAAATCGAAGTCCGGTGTTCTAGGATGAACATACTCAGCTAGATAGTGATCTAACTCGGTAGTAACCACAATTGTTCTAGTTTTCTTTCTTTGGCTCACATATAGATCAAAATCCAGATCAGTGGCCGAAGAACAAGCATTCAAACTAGAAGGAACAGCCGAGTTTTTGGATGATTTCCTTTGGTATTCAACAACCAAGTCAGCAAGTACAGATCTGACCCTTTCAGAAACAAGATCGGTACTAGTAATACCAAATTTACCAGCATAGTACCCAACAATTTCCAACTTATAACGTGGATCCAACACAACAGCAACGGCCAACAACAAGTGAATATCATCCCAATATTTGGCAAACTTAGTCCACATTTTCTCAGCCATAGAGACAATCATCATATTAGGGTCACTTAACCATTCCAACAATCGTAACCTCAAGTCACACACTTTAGGAAAAAACTGATTCGCTGTTGGGTAGTTTGAACCAGAAAAGATCATAGTTATGTCCTTGAAAACATCAAGTTTCTCTACCAAAATAGCAGCAAACTCCCACTGCTCATTAGTAGGCAGATAGTCATAATGAGGTTCTCTTATTTTCAATAAAGAAAACACATCCTTATACGGAATAGCACTAGAAAGCATCTCGTAGGTGGAATTCCAGCGAGTGGGACAATCTAAGACCAATTTCGTAGAAACAGCCAGTTTAAGTTGTTGAGCAGTAGCATGAAAATACTCCACCCTCCTAGGTGTGCATGTCCAGAAAACCACACTTTCCCTTATTTGATCTATTCCATCTTTCAGAACATCAAGACCATCCCTCACAATCAAATTAAGGATGTGAGCAGAGCACCTCATATGGAGAAGTGATCCATCCCTAATTAGATTAGACAAAACCAGCCTTTTTTTAACTATGTTGATCATTGAATCATTGGTAGTACAATTGTCAAGTGTTATTGTTGACAATTTACTATCAATATTCCACGAATGGAGGCATTGAGCTAGCTTTACAGCCAACCTCTCACTAGTGTGTGGGGCAGGGAGGTAACCAAACATCAAAAGATGGCTTCTCAGATTCCAAGAGTTATCGATATAGTGGCCGGTAACAGCCATGTAGGCCCTTTTTTGGTTTGTGGCAGTCCACATGTCAGTGGTGACAGCTATCCTCCCTTTGTTTTCATCAATGACCTTTTGAAACTTAGACCTCTCTAACCCATAAATAGCGACTATGTCCTTTTTTATGGTATTTCTGGCTGGGACTTTGAAGAGAGGGTTTAAGGTGCAACAAAATCGTTTGAAGTAAAGGTGCTCAACAATAGAAAGGGGATACTCATGCACCAAGATCATGGTGCAGAGCTCCTTTCTAGACACCTCACTACTAAACTGAGTTGTACTCATATCAGCTGTCCCATTGGCACTATAGTTAGCACCAAGAACTCTTTGACTCCCATCGTGTATTTTCTTATGAACACATTTGTTCCTATGAGTCCTAAGATGTGAAGTACCATTACTAGATTTCCCAGCCAAGATCTTTTTACAGTAGTTGCATTTAGCTTTCAAAACCCCAGAAACCATCATCCTAGTGAAGTGAGGCCAGACATCTGATTTTAATGACCTACTAGCACCTAAGGGATGTTGAGGAAGAACATCTTCCTCAACATTATTAGGATTACCAGGAGGAGGGGCAACAACATCATTAGCAGGTGCATTCTCAACGTGTTGGGGTTCCATCTGTTTAAGAGAAAGAAATAAAAAAAATGTTTTAGAGAGATGTACATTGTTCAGTTGTGTTCTCATAATTCAATTCAGATTAGCAGATTATGTATTGAGAAGTTTACTTGATTCAAGTAGTTTAGGATTACATATTAAAAGTTTGCTTGATTCGAGTAGCATTGCTTACAACAGACTAGCAGATTACCTATTACCCTTTTTCAGATTACGGATTAGCATTCAGCATATTAGCAGTTTAGCTGCTAACACTAATGAACTTACTATCAATTTAAAACATGTTTAGGTTTAGCATTATCAATTGAACAGGTTTATGTTTAGCTACCAACAACAACCAAGGTTCGAGGACTTACCTAAGCAGACTGTAGTTCCAGCACCAGCTGCTTTCTGAGATTCCTGAACAGATTACAGAAATGAGAAATCTGCAAAAAACACAAAATCAGGAAAATTAGTGTTTCTGGTTCAGGTTTAGGTACGAACAACCAACAACAAGTTAGGGTCACGAATTACCTAAGCAGAATGCAATTTATGAACTAGCTGCTTGATTTGATTCCTGAACAGAAAAGAGTTTTCTGCAAAAACACAAAGCAGAATGCAATTTATCATTACTGGTTCAGGTTTAGTCATTACTAATGATTCAGTAGCATAATTTAAGTGAAATGGGTTTCGAGTTTCATTAGCAGTTTAACATTTCGATGATTTGATCTTAGTTATTAAGGTGAGTTATTGTTTACTTACCTCAGCAGACAGCACGTTGAAGCAGAAGCACCAGTCGCTAGATGGGACTAACCAACAACAATCTGCAAGAACAAAAGAGCATATTTGAAATGTTAGGGTTTCTGAGTCTCTGCCGAATTAAGCAAGAACCAATAATAAACAAACAAACAAACTATTGTAAAATTAACTTACTTAGAGTTAGAATGAAAGGATGATCCAGAAATTTGGAAGGCTAGGGTTTGTAGACTATGAGTTCGATGAACTGCAGATGAACATAATAACGAATTCGTCATCTATTTATACATCTACAACAAGCAAAAGTGAATTAAGGTAACAAAAAAAAGAATACTTATCTCGATCTAGCCATCTGGGAAAGAAATCGTTCGCATGCAGGATTGAGATTGACGAGTCGAAGGGGATTTCTATCGATCGAGACATTTTAGGTGGTTGTAGTGTTGGTTAACAGCAAGATATGGGCTTTCTTGTCATGGGATAGTCAATTTTCGAGTAAGAATCGAAGAGAAAGGAGGAGAAATCGCCGGGAACGAGTGGTTTTTTTGATGGAAATCGGCGATTCTCGCGATTTCTACAGAGAAAAATGGGGGAGAAAGAGGAAGGCGGCGGCTGAAATGAGTTTCCTCTAACCCTAGCTGAAAAAAGGCTCTTTATACCTAGGCTTGCTCGTCGTCGTTTTGCTCCCGGGCCGGATACGGGGCGGGTACCACAGCATCCGTCCCCAGCCCGTCACCGAGCCACGCGGGCCGCGGGTCTGCCCGACTCCGCCAACTAAACCGCTCTCGCGGGTTTCGGCCCATTCCACACGGGCGGGCCCTAGCGGATACCCAAAGCCCGCGGGCTGACTGCCATCCCTACTTTTCTTCAACTATTTAGACTTAATATTCAACTAATTAGACTCAATCACTCATTCTATTATCACTCTTTTTCATTCGTAAAGTGTTTTCTCTTCGTTTTATTGTAAAAATGTATTTTTTGTGTATATTTTTTCCAAATAATATGTAAGAGTTGGTCGACCCATCCTGTATCCCCACAAGTATTGTCCTGCTTAGTGCAGGTATGGATATTGAGGTACCCGCCGTGACCGGGTTGGGGGAGATGCACGACTAGGACCAGCAGTTTCTTCATGCTAACAGCATTGCTCATTGAAATCACCGTGGAGCGAGGTACTGTTTGTTTGCTTCCCGAGTTCCATACAAAGACAAGCGTATGGTCTGCTCTCCAATGCCGGTTTTACCAGTAAATTGGACGAGAACATAAGACTCTTTCCCCCTTTGGTATAATCGCCAACTTCTCAGCACGGCAGCCGGGATCTTCTGTTTCCTCTCTGGAATCATTTTGGGTGTGGGAAGGGTTTACCTTTTAATTTTTATAGTTTGTTTCTTGCTTTTAAGCAGTATATGCAGCAGCCTGCGACTCCGCTGTTTCCCAAAGCACGAGACAAAACGAGAATAGTATCGACGTTGGAGCAGAAACACACAACATTACTTTACTTGTTAATTGTATGGTTGGTCACTGTGATTACAAAAAAAGTTCAAGTTTGGTCACTCAAAATATTTAAATTCATTGGTGGTACTTCAGTTTATTGAAACCGTTCACGTTTGGTCACTCTCCGTCCAACTACATTAACTTTTGTTTATGTGGCGGTCAACTCTAAAGATTGACCGTTAAATGTGTGACGTGGCAATTTAAAAATAATAAAATTAATTTTTTAAAATTTCATTTCAATTCTAACTATTAAAAATAAAAATTAAGAACAAAGGCCCATAAAAAATATTAAAAAATTAAGAACAAATTCGGAGATGGAGGTGAGAGCTTGAGAGGATGTAGAAATTGGCCGCGACATAATGCCGGCGATTCTACCAATCTCGTTCTCCCTTCACGACGCCTTTCTTCACTGCTTCGCTTGCTTCTCCCCTTTCTTCGGTCTGCCGTTCCCACCCCGTCGCCACCGTCATCTCTCCTCGTCCGTTTTTTACTGTTTTTCTCTTTGCTCCGCCACCGACTCGCCTCTCCACTTCTCCTCGGCGGAATCCAATCTCCTCGACTCCTCGCCTCCGTCGCCCTCTCCCGAGTCCTCTGCGGACCTCCCCGCCGTGCTCTGCCTCCCCCGTACGAGATCCGCCTCCGGAGATCGGATGTTCGGTTTGCTAACCAATCGTGAGAAATTGTTGGTGGAGGACGACGAGATCTCCGATCGCGTGAGGAGCGGAGCTGTCGTGATGGCGGGGAAGGAGGAATGGTGCCGAAGAAGAAGAGGAATCGGCGATTTGCTTGGTGATCACCAACGGAGTGGAGGTTGTGGATGAGAAAGGGAGAGGAATCGGGATCGCCATTTACGATTCAAGAGGATTCCCCTTTTGTTTTTAATTTTAATAGTTTATAATTTTATTTTTAATAGTTAGAAATGAGATGGAAATTTCAAAAAATTTATTTTTATTATTTTTAAATTGTCACGTCAAACATTTAATGGTCAACTTTTAGAATTGACCACCACATAAGCAAAAGTTAACGGAATTGGACGGAGAGTGACCAAACGTGAACGGTTTCAGTAAACTGAAGTACCACCAATGGATTTAAATATTTCGAGTGACCAAACTTGAACATTTTTTGTAATCTTAGTGACCAACCATGCAATTAACCCCGATGGAAGGATTCTTTTCTGAAACACATACATACAGATAGATACATCATATTCTCAACAACAAACAATGCGACGCTAGAGATTGATCAATCAGTTTCAAGTATGTTGGTAATATTTCCCTCTGCCCTAAATGCTAACATAAACCAACCTCCTTACCGGACACAAATTCTCAAATCCTGAAAACACAATCAGATCGGAATTAGATCACGAGAACCTGTAACTTGTATATCAGCAGTTCTGATTATTCTCTGTTCATACAAAAGGGACAGGGAGCCACCAGCACAAAGACTTGACCATACAGTTTGGTTTGCTTTTTAACATATACAAGACAAAAGGGTAACAAAACTTACAGGAGAACTGACCTATATTACAATCATTGCGTGACAGATGAAAAACAGAACTGTCCCTAAGTGTGAACTGAACTAACCACCAGAAACAGAACAAGGAACAACAAACAACTTTTGAGATGCCCGACTCCTCAAACTCTACTGTTAGCAGGGAGCGGCAGAACTCCGTCAAAGAAATCTCCAAAGTATCCACGGGGCTCGTGTACGAGCCTTGAGATTACGTCCCTCAGAGTGATCACGCCTTCCAGATTCCCCGAATCGTCCACAACGTATAACCGGTGGATTTGCTTGGTGTCTAGCTTCGTAATCAAGCCTTTAATGTTGTCGCTCCCTTTACATGTTATCATCCCGCTCACCATTGGGGTGTCTTCCTTGTGATCCTTCAGGTAGCTTCTCACCGCCATCAGAAAGTTCTTGGCTGTGATAGATCTGCCACAAAAAAAGGTCAGACACAGTCGTCGTTAAGTTGGTGTTGTAAAAAGGAAGTTTCTCCTTCACTTGTCTTCATGGATTCGTAAACTAACAATGAAAAGCTACAGAAGAGAGTATATAAATCCTGCATGAGAAACAAATAATAGAGAAGATCAGATAATGAAAGCACAACCGTATGCACCTGAATTCATGGTAAATCTCTGGCGCATTTAGTAGGAATTGAACATCTCTGAGACTGATGTTGCCAATTGGCTTCTTGCCATCCGCTCCCATAACAGGCACGCCACCAATTCTCATTTTCCTCATCAGCTTAAACGCTTGGAGCACTGGTTCATCCTCATAAACCTGAGGCAGCAAAAAACCATCATCAAAGCAAGCAATAGGTAACCGCAGAATGGGATCAAAATGAATGAGACTGCACAGTGCGGGTATCACCCATTTCTTTCCTCCTTGGTGGGGTGTCGATTTCTAGAATGTTGTCAAATACCCTTTTATCTCAATCGCACAAAAAGAACAACCACCAGGGTAAAGAGCCAGAAGAGACCTTGACAATTTGATTGTGGGAGACGAGAGGAAGTCCAAGTTCTGAAACCGTCTTGGCTCCCCAGCTCTCAAACCAGTGAAGCCCAGCACATTCGTTTAGCATGTGAATAACAGCAGATTGCGTGATGATGTTGTCAATGTTGCCATCGCCCAGATCAACAATTGGGATGCTCTTCATTTTGTATTTGGAGAGCAACAACAGCATTGTCAAGAAGGAGTTGGACTTCTGCAAAGCCAGGAACGGTGCCCATCGGAAAGAACCCGAGATGTCTCGAACCTGCAACAGCGTCATTATTTGCAGAGTCAGATAGCTTGACATTGATCGAATCCACATAAGCGCAAGAACCAGAAACGATCAAAACAATGAACCTTCATGTTTTTATAGTATTCCGAGGAAGTGAGATCCTCAAAAAAATCTCCAGACGTTGCTTGAGCATCTTCAGGCCCCAAGATCCCGACTCCGGCAGCATTCGTCAATCCATTCACAGCCAAAGCAGCAGAGGTTCCTGAATTTGGACTCCTAGGAGACGGAGGTTCTGACTGTCAAATACCAAAAGTTGTTCATGCTCTTTTAACCTCTTAGGATACATGGACAGATAAATATTTACACATAAAAAAAAAAAAGTCAACAAAATCTCACCTGCTGCAGGATCCAAACGACGATTCCGGCGACCTCCACGATTCCAATGTACCTATCCATCCAACTAGCGTCCTCTGGCGCATCAACGTCCACCACCGGCGCGCTCAGAATCTTGTTCTCCGCCAATATCTTCACCGCCTCCGCCAAGGTCGTATCCGATTTTATCTCAATCACTACACCAACACAAGGAATCAAAGATCAAAATCATAAAAACAACACAACAGATAGATAGATAGAGAGAGAGAGAGGGAGAAATACGCAAACGTTTCCATTCCATCACCTCGAGAAGAAGAAGCAGGGAAAGCAGAGACCGGAATGTTCTCGAAGCAAGCGTTGAGTTTCTCGGTGGGACTGAGCTGCGGCTCCTGAACGTCCCACAGATCCTCCACTTTCATCCCGAGCTTGGCTTCAGGGCTCCTCGGGCTCTGGCTCTGGCTCTCCACCGCCTCGCTGCTCTCTCTAATCAACTGCAAGCTCGCCATCGCCGCCACCGGTAATTCCTTCCGATCACAATAACAGTAAAACGAAATATCTCTCGCCGGACCCCAATCGAAGAGAACTCGATTTTAATCAACAAAACACACTTCCCTCCCTCCCTATTCTTCTTTCCTTCCTGTGTGCGCACTCCTGGCGACAGGAATTTCAAATCCAGGAAAATTACATACGAAAACGTCCTTTTCTTTTTTCTTTTTTCCTAAATTAATAATCAGATCCAGCTATCCGCTGCGACGCGCCTTGATTTTGTGTCGGAGTGGGGACCGTGCGATCATTGAGTGGATGGTGGAGATGGGGACACGTAGGAGAAGGGGCGAATCGAGTGGTGGAGGTGCATGGCGAGTGGTGGTCAGCGTAGTTGACGAACGAATCGCTGTCCGCTGAAACTTATCCGGTGGGTGGGCAAAGGGCAGTATTGAAATTATATCATTGTTTTCTGTGTGATTTTTTTTTTTTTTTTGTCTGATTGTGTTGATTGCTCTCTTCTTATCCGATTGTTGATGGCGATCCAATTGCGTGGCAAGTCCAATGTGGGCCGGGCCGTGCTTTTCGCACCTTGCTGCTTTTAACGAGTCGCTCGGAACTTACACTACTTGCGCGCGACGGGTGTTTTTACTTGTTTTAGAGTTCGTTTTCTTTTCCTTTTTTTCCGTTTGTTGAGATGTTTTCTTTTCCTTTGAATGATAAGACTTGAAAAAATACTCAGTTGTAGTCTTGTAGGTCACTTGTTGAAAAAGATATTAAAAAATCATAGGATAATACATGTCTAAAAATAGTCTAATTTTGAAGGTTGGGTGGTGTTTGGCTGGGGGAATTCAGCAATTGGTGATCGAGAAGGTCGAGAGTGGAGTAGTTGGGATGCACATGGTGCCCGTGGTGATGCTAACAGGATGAAATTAATATGATGTGTAGATGTTTTCATTAATTTAGTGTGAGATTTGTGAGTAGAAACATGATTGGGTGACTTATTTGGCGGCCAAAGATGTCATTTTCTTTGTTCACTAGTTTGGTATTGTTTGATGCTCAGACACTCAGTTGTGGCTTTATTCAGCTATATTTAATATTCTTTGATAAATGGATGCAACACATCTTAGTTTTCATTCACAATCAAGTGCTATGTTGTGAATACATGTGGAGTTTTATGCTTGATTGGTTGATGGTAGCCATCGTGGCTTGGGTTGTGGTTCGAACTTTTGTGTGAATGAACCGTGAATTACACACAACCATGCCACAGTGTGCTTGAGCTTAATTGTTTGTACCCATGCCGGAAATATAAGTGTGTGTGTGTGTGGGGGGGGGGGAGGGGGGGGGGGGGTTCTCTTTTCCTCCCAATGAGCATTATTTGATAATTGTTTCCACGTGTGTATGGTTGTTAGTGGTGTACATTCGGGTTCGGTTTTTAGGGTTTACCCGAAACCAACCCGATTATATACATTTTTGATTTTTCGAGTTCGGGTTCGTTTTGGGTTTTGGGTTTTTCGGTTTCGGGTTCGGTTTTGCTTAATGGTTTTTTAGGTTCCGGCTAAAAACCTTCAATGAATAGAACTCAGTTCGTATTCTTAGGCCCTGTTCACTTCTATTTTCGTTTCCTGTTTTCTGTTTTCATGTGATAAATTTGACAACCGAAATGAGAAAACTTGTTTATTTTTCATTTTGTTTTCTATTCGTTTCCAACTATGAAAACAGAAAGTGGCAACTTCCTGCTGTGTTCAGAAACGACAAAATGTTGTTTTCGCCTGTTTTCAACATCTGTTTTCTAAAAAACAGGAAACAGAAATAAAAGTAAACAAGCCCTTAAGCGTTCGGGTTTTTGGTTTTCGGTTTTGCTTTAACCGAACCCGAACCCGATAAGGAATTTTCGGGTTTCGGATAACCGGAACCCGCAAGTCCTTATCGGGTTCGGTTTTCGTGATTTTTCGGTTTCGGGTTTCGGTTCAGGTGACCGAACTCGACCCGAACTGACACCCCTAATGGTTGTCAATTTGTGCAGGATGGTTAACATGCAGCACCCATACCTTGTGGCGCTAAGGGGCCGCCCTGAAATGGAAAAAGGCGTGTTTTTGGGCATCTTCGAGAGTGGTAACCATTGGAAACTAGACTTCGCCTAGTTCGACAGGCTTCATTGCGGTGATGTTATGAGGGAGGCAGTGGTGCACCCACAGTGGCGCCAAGTCCTTGATCTCGAAGATTACATTTACGGGGAACTTTGTGTCGAGTTTTTCAGCACCTTCACCATCCCAAGACCCAATGCCTAATCGGTCATCCAGTACACCGGGTTGAGTTTCGGGAACTTCGCAATTTGAGCTATGACGGGTTAGCCACAACCCTCGGAATGGAAGCCAAACATGAGGACGATTGGGAGGAAGACGCCATCCGAAGTTTCAACGTGAATGACGCATTTCTGAAGTTTTTCCTTCCAAAGTACCGAAATACAAAGTTTAAGTCGGCCCCTCACAACGGCATCCACACTCCAACCCCAGTGGCGTGTCATCGTTGCACTCTTGGCTCGTTCCCTCTACCTGACTTACCACAACCCGAACAAAATAATCGAGAGAATCCTATTTCCTTTTTCTTGCATGGTGGACCTGTCTAGCACTTTGCACCTGGGTTCGGTCATAGTCACTTCTTTTGCCAGGGCCAATGGGGGAAACCGTCGTTAGGTCACATCAATGGGCCCCTACATCACCCGCCTTGCTCGACACTTCAATGTCAGCCTTGCAGGGTGCTCGAAAGAAGGGCGCACCCAGAGATTTGACGAGGGCACTCTGCACTCCATGCGCTTATTGCGCACCTTTGGGCCAATGCGGTACATCGAGGGATTGAGACCTGACCCCGAGGTCCCACCACCAGTAGAGCAGCCATCTGCTCGAGCTCCTGGCCGCCGGCAGCGTCCAGCGCTCCAGCGCCCAACACAACCACCACCACCAGCAACAGACGATCCCCTCGTCCAGAGGGTGGATAGCCTAGAGACAAACTTCGTGGGATTCTCTTCCCACCTCGATCGGCAGACTGATCAGCTCGACGCCAGGGCGTCCTCCCAGATGAGGACGAGGGTCCTTCCACCCGCGAGAGGTAGCCGACGAGTGAGACATGTAGCAGAGCCGATTTCTTTCGCACCACTTCTCCACTTGTAACCCTGAACTTGTTGTTTTTGCTATTTTTCTTTATTCTTTGTGTGTGTGACCCTAAACTACTACTACTATTGTATTGTGTTATGTAATAACCTCGCCCCGAGCAAGTCATATTGTGTTTAAGTGTGTGTTTTTTTATCTCTCCTTGAAGCTCAAAATATCCTACCCCAGATTCGATTCCAACTTTCACTCACCAAGCCCAAGCGGTAACATCATTCTACCCCTTTCTTACGCCATTGAGGGCAATGTGGAGCTTAAGTGTGTGGGGTAGTTTACTCTTATGCTTGTTTGAGTGTGATTGATGCTTGAAACCTTTTGTATGCCCAAATTTCAAAAATTTGAGGGCTCCAAGCAATGTTTGCATGATCAAAGTGGCCGGTGTGTGAGAAATTCTCGTGTTTATTGGCATTGATCTTGAATTGTTGCATGTGATCGAGTATATCCTATGATGATGACTGAGAGGTCCGTTAGGATAGGGAAAAAGTTTAGTTCTCATGTGCATAAATGAATGGATGTCTTGACTCGATTACTTGTTGATTACAATTGCCATGCATTGTGTTTGTGAATTGGAATAGATGGTTGGGTGACTAGGTTGCCATGTGAGCTTTGAGCCGATCGTTTTCTTCTTGTGTGCTTAGATCCCTCTTACCATGGCGAGTAACATCACAGTTGTCACTAGGGAGTATGATGGAGGCATAGGATTAGTCCACGCCCAAATGTTGATTGTCCAGAAATGTGTTATCCACTAGTCAACCCTGTTGAGCCTTGTGACTTCGAGGCTAGGTTTTAAGTTAGGAGCTTCTTGCTTGTGAGCTTAATGGTGTCAATAGAATGACCCCCAATCCTTTCTTCGTGTCTAAACATGAGTCGTCCTTGTGTCTCGGAGCTCTCACTTTTGAGTTCCATTGAGGTTCTACATAGGAGGTTTGTGTGCGGTTCTTGCTAGGAATGAAAAATGAAGTGTAGTGTTTGAGTGAGTTCTTAAAAATGAGAGCATTGGTCGTTAATTGCATAGGTGGCAAGTGTTTTTAATCTTTAGTACCCCCCTCAAAAAGAAAAGAAAAGAAAAAGAGAGAAAACAAAAGAGAAATGAAAAAGAGGTGATAAAATGGGGTAAATAAAGTAGAGAGTGCCACGAAAAACCAAAGTGTATGCTCTAGAAGGGGTTTCTTGGCACCCAAGCCATTGAAACCCCCACATTGTTTTAGAACTCCTTCACTACCAAACCTTAATGTGCTAGCAAGAATTGACCGAGGAAGAGTGCTTAAATGTAGTTCACTATGGGTGATAGTTTGGAAAGGAGAGATAAGGTTTTTGGTCGATGCTAGTGGCCTTGGGTTGAAGAGAAGGGTTTTGGTCGAAACCATAGAAACTTTGGGTTTAGGTTGAAGATGTAGAACCTCACGCCATGATTGCCACCACCCAAAAAGTCGTTTTTCCATGTTCAAGACAATTGCAGTCAGCTGAACCCGTGTCTAAGACCTCTAGACAAGCTAGTGGTGACAACCATCCCGTGAACTCTAGCATTTAGAGGTTTCCCTCATGGTATTGAGACGATAGGGCCGAGTCTTGACGATTGTGCACATCTTTGACACTAAAAAGGTCCCAACCCCACTGGTCTTGAGAGTGAGTGATTCATTTTTGTTGTGCATGTCATATCATACCCCGATGAGGACCTTTGTTGCCTTTCCATTTGTTCCTTGGAATTGAAATCCATGCATGGTTAGTTGTGGTTGATAAGTGGTTTCGTTGAGACTTGCATTGATCCATGAACAAGGTGAGAACTTTTTGTTTGCCCACTTTTGGTGGCCTCGAATGTCGTTTATGTCCCCTTTGAGTTGTCCCCAAAGTATTTGTGTAGGTTGAAATATTACCTTGTGAGAAATGGTTTGATTGGTGACAAGCAAACGTCTAAGTGCGGGGGAGTGATTCAGGTCTAATTGTACATGTTTTACCCCCATTTTCCTTAGGCGTTTGTGGCAATTTCGCTTCTAAAAGGGTGGTTTTACGCTAGGTTTCTCGTGTTTTACTGCGTTTCATGATTTAACAGGTGAAACCAGCCCCAGAATCGAAAGTTGGACGAAAAGGAGCGAAAACCGGGAGAAGAGGTGAAAAACGGTGAGTTCACGGTTTTTCTTGGATGTTCACGGTCTTGTATGACCATGAAGAAGAGCTGTTGCCCGTGAACTTTGAGGCATCCAGGGCCAAAACTCTAGTTACTGACGCTAATTGAGTTCACGATCACTAAGACCGTGAACTGGAGCCGTTGCCCGTGAACACGTGCAAGCGAAGCGTTGCGTTTCGGCACCCATCTAGAGTTCACGGACGCGTTTCAGAGTTCACGACCGTGAACTGAGGCTGTTAACTGACCTCGATCCCTGTTTAAAAGATGAGCGCAAAGGAAGAGAGAGGGGAGAGCCAATTGTGTGAGAAAGCCTTCTTCAGATTTTTAGAGAGAGAAACATGAACCAAAGGAGAAGAAGGGTAGGGTTTTGCTCCAAGGTGGGATTTGGGAAGATTCTCCTCAAGAGAAGTTCAACACAAGTGTCTAGAAGATTGGAATCCACCCTCAAGATGGTTTCTACCTCTTCTGCTTGTGTTTCTCCCATTTCTAGCATGGAGTAGATTTCTTTTCACTTGGGTGTTGTGAAACCCTAACTAGCTACCATGTAGTTTCTTTTATGTGAATTGAATGATTGTCATTGGGTATTGTTTAATTCAATGATTGAGGTATTATTCATGTTGATTATGCATGCTTGTGCCTAGCAATCTAAGGATTGTGCATGTTTTGTGCTTAGCATCCTTAGGTTTGTGCATGTTGGTGATATGCAACCTAAGGATTGTGCATAATTGTGCTTAGCATCCTTAGATTTGTGCATGTTGGTGCTTAGCAATCTAATTAGCCACTTTAACCTAGATTAGAGAGAAAAATCCCTCTTCCAAGGAAGACTCAATCGAGTTGGTTTTCCTTTAGCTTTTTAAGTCACCTAACTAGGTTAATTTAGGGCAAACCTCAATGGTGAATTAAGCAAATTGGTTAAGCGCAAAATCCGTCCAACCCTTGAGTTGAGTGAGGGAGTAAGTCAACCACTGATTGCCTAAACCGAAAGGGCCGAGTGACACGGATAGCTCGGCCTCGTCCGCAGGTGATGATGATGGATTGATGGTGTGCTCCATGTTGGCAGCAATTGATGGCGAAGGCGCTATGGGTAGCTCTTTCTCGTCGACGGTTGGAGGCTCCAACTTGGTGGAGTTAACGTCGGCGTAGTGGATGACTGTGACGATTGACGATGCTATGTGTGATGGAAAGGAAGCTTCGGGAAGCTCCTTGACTTTAGTGGTGGACGTGATTGTTGTTGCTGCGGAGATCACGAAGGCCTCAGCTACGACACTCGAGGTTGCAATGGTGATTGGTGGTGGTGCGGTCGATGATCGCGTAAGAGCTATGATTAGCTCGGTGGCTGATGTTGGTGATGAGAGAGCTACAATTAGCTCTTCATTGGCGGCAGTTGATGATGATGGGGCTACGGTTAGATTCTTCGTCAACGGAGACTCGATCAGTGATCTGTCCCTCGTTAGAACCCCAGCCCTAGCGGTTAGGGTTTCATCATCGTTGCTGGCGGCGCTCGTGGCCTCGGCGAAAGGTGGTTGCGTATCCCTTGTCATGGCAGAGCGTGGTTGCATGTAAGACCTCTTCCCGATGTTGGTGGTCGAACATCAGCAATATCTGCCTTGCGAGCTGCGTAAACCTCGGTTCCGTCGAACCGCGCTCTGACACCAATTGATTGATGATCTGTTCATCCATCCGTAAATCGAAAGAACTAAAACTAAAGACACGAAATTAGGGATTATTCTTATTCATTGATTGACTGGCTTTGGAATAGAACCTAAAATACATATATATAACAAGACACAACCCTAAACCTAATGACTAACCCTAAACCAATCGGCCAAATAGTGGCCGCCAACCCCCTTCACCTATTCTAATCCTATTCCAACACTCAAACTACTACTATAATTATCCCAAGAATACCATAAAATATATAAATAAACATAGTAATAATAATAAATGCATCATCCTGCCCCCACCCCGCCCTGTTCTTTGCTCATTCTATGTCAATTTCTTATAGTATCTATCATATTCCTTCTACTTTGACTTTTCTTTAACTAGTTATACTCGATATTTTAACTAGTTAGACTCAATTACACATTCTATTATCATTGTTTTGCATGCATAAGTGTTTTTCCTTTCATTTTATCGTAAAAAGTAAAATTTTGCGTATATTTTTTTAAAATAACATGTAAGAGTAGGTCGACCAATCCCGCCCGATCCACAGTAACGTGGGGCGGGCAATGTGTATTGAGATACCTGCCCATTGCCATGACTAAGAATATGACTTCCATTAATCCAGCGGTTTCCGTAGCTGAATGTAGGGGTGAACAAACACACCCGCAAACCGACCCACCCGTCCAACCCGACCCAACCCACCCGTATTTATCGCTAAAATGAAGGTTTTGGGTTGGGTGAGGGTTTTATTTTGTACAACCCGCCTCTTTTGGGTTGGGTTTGGATTTTGGTTACACAACCCGTAGAACCCGACTCGACCCGTGTTCCAACTTTTACTATGAGTTCGTATCTAAAAAATATTTATGTCGTATATAGCCATACTTATGAGAAAATTAAGATATTTCGCCATGTTTTTCTCTCATGGTCTCCATAATCTGATGCATTCATCGACTTAAAGTTTAGACATAAATTGAATATAGTTACGATTCATGTAATCATTTTTCTTGTGTACAATTTTAATAGAATAACATATTATGATTTATAAACTTTTTAGCTTATTTCAAAAAATATCGTGAAAAAACTAGACATATGTTGAAGTAAATCACATTTTATTAAAATTCAAACAACATTTGTGAATTTTGATAACTTTCACCTCAGTTATTCGTTTGAAATTTTAATTAGTTATGCAATATTTTTATGATGTAGAATAATTATATATTTTATATTGGGTTGGGTTTTTACTTAAAAATATCGCCAACACTATCCAAACCAATTAGAAACAAACCCGAACCACCCGACCCATGTACACCCCTAGCTGAATGGGCTTCTAACAAATTAAAAAAAAAAAAAACGAAATGGGCTTTACATTGTTCCACCAAGGCTGCCCAACGTAACGAGCTCGATAAGCCTGCAAACAACCATTATATATAGACTTAAAACTGCCCCCTTTCGCATTCCGTAAACCCTAATCTTCACTCCGCTCTCTCTGATACAGCGTCTGCAACCGGCTGGGTAAGATCAATGTCTTACTGCACTATTCAATTTCTTTTATTCGGTACACGGATATCTGATCGGATCGATTGCTCTAATCGTGGTTTGAGTTTCTGAGGATATTTTACTTTTCCCCTTGCAGTAGCCATACACATAAATTTTTACCAACAATGGCGGTTGCATTCCATGGTCTCAACACACCAGCTGGTCTCAAGAAACTCGATGAGTACCTTCTCACTCGCAGTTACATCACCGGGTAAGTTCGATTTCAGGCTCGGCGAGTGGGTTATGCGATTCTTAGATTTGGATGGTATGCTCCTTGAAATCTAATCATCCAATTGTCAATCCTGTGATGTTTTGCACTCCTTAGATACCAAGCTTCTAAGGACGATATTACCGTCTACTCGGCAATTCCCGGTGCCCCATCATCTGATTTGGTCAACGTCACTAGATGGTTCAAGCACATCGATGCACTTTTGAGGATTTCGTAAGTTCGGAATAATTTTCCTCTTCTTTAGATTTCGGCTTTTACTTTGCTAACATTATTTGGCGCTTGGGGGGTTTTGATCTGTGATTTGGTTTTCCTTCTAGTGGTGTTACTGGAGAAGGATCTGGAGTTACTATTCTGGGATTTGCTCCTGTTGCTGAAGCAGTTGCAACTCCTCCTACGGGAGACACTAAGGTGAGTAATTTCCTTTCTTTCTTCGCGTATTATATGCATCATTATCTCTTGTTTCGAGGGCCAACACCATTAGCTAAGAGAGTTCATTTGTTTGGTGTAGTGGTTTTAACTCGAACTCTTTTGTGTTTGTAGGCTGCCGCTGCTGCTGATGACGACGACGACGACGTGGATCTGTTTGGTGAGGAGACCGAAGAGGAAAAGAAGGCTGCAGAAGAGCGTGCAGCTTCTGTTAAGGCATCTTCTAAAAAGAAAGAGTGTAAGTACTGCTTGAAATTTGAGCTATATTTCTCTGTTGGTTCCTGTACATCAGTTCATTTTGTAATTCAATGTGCAAAACTGAGTTCCTGTACTGTGTTTATTGGGGTTCCTTCTCAGCTGGTAAGTCTTCTGTTCTGATGGATGTTAAGCCATGGGATGATGAGACTGACATGAAAAAGCTCGAGGAAGCAGTCAGAGGTGTTGAGATGGAAGGACTATTCTGGGGAGCATGTAAGTATTACATACCTTTGCTGTTTAGCGCTTTCTGCCTCCTGGTTGCTCTATTGTCATTACAAAGAAGTCTTCGCTTAGCGGAGGCGAAAGAAAGGATTAAGTTGATGTTTCTTTGTCTTTTTTTTAATATTTATCGATCGAGACCATATTCTATGCTCTAAATAGTGCCTGTTATTTACTCCTTGGTTTCCTGTGATTAGTTCTTATTTTTTCCCCCTTCGTTGTACTTTGCTTCCTCTTTCAGCCAAGCTTGTTGCAGTTGGGTATGGTATTAAGAAATTGCAGATCATGCTTACCATTGTGGATGACCTAGTGTCTGTTGATACTCTCATTGAGGAACGATTGACTGTGGAGCCAATCAATGAATATGTCCAGAGCTGTGACATCGTTGCCTTCAACAAGATCTGTGAGTATACTGACTGTGCTGATGCATTCTTATCACTTCACGATTGCACATTGGGTCCAACAAGTGCAGCAGGTCTCATTTTTTGTCGCCCGAATGTTGTTTGCAGAAACAGAGGGGGTGGATGATAACTGGGACTGAGCATTTTTGGAAGGTTTCCAAGTGGCGGATGTGTTCTTCCTCCAATATGCTTATTCCTTTTTCATGTTTGTCAGAAGTGAATTGCGGTTTAATCGAACTTTAGTCAGTTTGCCTTGCAAAATGTACTCTTTTGTTCAATCATATGCTTTGAATTTTGGTGAGCTAGAATAATTATATCTAGTGGTTGTAGCGTGGATTGGGACTTTCTTTTAGTCGGTTTGGTGGTCTATTCGCAGGTCAGAAGCCTCGGTGCAAGATATTGCTGTAGATGGTGTTTCCAGCTGGGAATCTTTGAATCTGCTGCGCTGATAGTTTTTGGGTGACTTGTTAATGGATATCATAGATCATGGAGTAGTTAAAAGTCAAGCACCTCGGGGGAACTTAGGAAGATATGTGCAAAACTAAAAAATGGCTATTATATCACATAGCTTGTGGCACTGGGTACAAACCAAGGATTAAAATAAGAATTAAAATATTGTACCGGCGATTTGACCCGAGAAACCTTTTGTCGGAAGTAGAACCGATAGTAACGGTATAATATGGTTGAATTATGGTTAAGCCATTATTTTAGCATAAAATACCCTATTGCTGACTTTTCCGGTATGACCTCTAGTACGGTATTTCAATCCATGGTACAAACACGCATTTCCAATATTCCACCATATCGTCTTTTTCTTTCAAATGGAGAAGCGACTAGTCTAGTGCTCTACACAAAGCCACAAACCACCATTCCTCCCTCCCCTCTGCCCCTCCATTGACGACATGCAAAATATTCCAACTGACCTGACCCAACCTTCCCCGCTCCCCAATACCACTCTACAGCCCGGCGATTGCGAGTCAGCATCCACTAGCTCCGCGCCTCTGTCGTTTGCCTCTATCTGTTTGTCGTCCGTCGCTGGCTGTGGCGTTGCTGACCATCGCTACCATCCATTTCTGCTGCTAGTCCTCAGGTGCCAATGTCGACCATCAATGGAAAGAAGGATGCACTAATCAACATGTACAGTAGTAGTGGGACGAGGAGGTGCAGTTCAGGGGGTGCAGTTCCCGGGAATTGATGACCCATTGGTGGTGGTGTTGCTGGCTCTTCGGGAGGCTATCTTGTGGTGCTTGGGCCGGGGTTTTTCTGAGGTACGATTTGAAGGCGATGCCCAAGTGATTATTGAGAAGCTCCGTAGGGATGAGACCAGAGATAGCCGGGTTGGGCCCATTCTCGAAGAGGTCAGCGATTTGTTTGCTGAGTATACGTGGTTTAGTGTTCGATTTGTAGGTCGGAGGAACAATAGGGTAGCTCATCTGGTAGCTCGCAAGACCCTTTCTTTGTACCCGACTACGAGTCGCTTCTTTGATTTGCAGGCCTGGCTGTATTCCGGGATGTATTGCCTATATTTCAATCAATACATGATTATCTTTTGTAAAAAAAAAAAGAGTTTGATTTCTTGCATCTTAAACCTATTTTACATTAGGTTGTGTTCGTTTGTCATATTTCAGGTCCTAGCAGGTAAAGTGAAGCATAGACGCAATTTTGGGTCAACTGGAGATCGTTTGGCGACTAGTGTGTGGACCGGAGGAAGAAACACGTGCAATGCCATGAGAAACACGACTGTATTTCTTAGGACAACAACTGTGTTCCAGCTGAGAAGAAGCACGACCGGGTTTTGCCTTGCATTGGTCTTGTAATGACTGTCGAGGAAAAACACGATCTAAGTGAGGGACAAAACACGACCGTGTCTCACCCGTAATAGGCTGTGTAATGAGGAGACACGACCAAACTCCAAACACGGCGTCAATCGTGTTTTACCTTGAAGGTGTTCATGTTCTATCGAAAAGTAACTTGAGTGAAATGCTGAGCTTTGACAAAACACTGGCTCAATCTAAAACACAGGCATAGAACACGACCGTATTTTAGCAAGCTTCGGGATAAGTCCCAATTTTGGGATTTTTAAGGGGGATCCAACTTTTGACCGCAAATTCATAGTTCTAGAAAGAGAGTCACAGGGAAACATACCTTGGAGCTGATTTTAGCCCCCAATACAACATTGGACCTCAGTTTTCACTCGCTTGGCCCTGGTACTTTGGAGTCCCCCTAGAGGGCTGTCGTAGGGTCGGCTACACCCAGGACTTTCTCAGTTTGTGAATGATTGATTTGATATATTCAATTGAAGCATTAATCAAAATTGCATGAGTCCTGATCAAACTTTTGTGATTCCTGCTTTAACCTAGAATGATAGTCTCTGTATAGGTTAATAGAGTAATCTTTTTTTTGATAATGTAATAGAGCAATCTTAATTGAAAGTACTGGATTGATTACTTTAGTCGATGAATCGATTAACTACTTTGTATTGGAATTGAACCAGTAGTGGAAGTTTGGTGTGTTACTGCCTCGGTTAGCTTACACATGTGGATGTTAGTTGTCCATCGGGTATTCGAACTAAGAGGGTCTGGAATTCTTTAGTCAAGATTCCAGACTTGTCAAGAACTTTCTGCGGTATATCTTTCATTTGAAACTAATTGGGGAATTATGATATGAACTAACTGCACACTAGGGAGACTAATATATGGATGACCTTTTGCATACTTGAAACCAGAACATTCTTGCTTCCTGTTTATTTACTTTTGAACACTCCACTCGAATTCAACCGCCAAATAATAGAGATTACGGAGTAGACAGTAAATCTAAGACCTGGGTTGATAAGTAAAACTGAACCCACTATACTGCATTTCCAGAATGCGATTACACTTGGTCGTAGTTTGGTGTTGTGTTTTAGCGAGTCAATGAGCGAGCACTATCTTGGAAGATCACTAATATCAGGGGTATCAACCCCTCATTCTGCGCTCACAGGATCCTCATGGATGATGATATCAAGACGGTGGTGCAACCTCATGCAGATTGACCTAAACATGCATCTCGTGGTCATGGCTGAGAATTGAGATTATCAAGTTGTTGGATGCCGGGATTATTTATTCGATCTCGGATAGTGAGTGGGTTAGTCCCACTTAGGTGGTACCAAAGATGAGGCATGAATGTTGTTCCAAACGAGAAGAATGAGCTGATCCCCATGCAAATGGTGATAGGATGGCGCGCGTGCATCAACTTTCGCCACATGGATGATGCCACTAGGAAAGATCATTTCCCACTTCCCTTCATTGATCAGATGCTCGAGAGGGTCGTTGGCTATAACTTTTACTACTTCTTGGATGATATGTCTGGCTACTTTCAGATCCCGATCATACTAGAGGACCAGACTAAGACCACCTTCATGTGCCCCTTTGGCACCTTTGTATACATGTGGATCCTATTTGTGTTGTACAATGCCCCTGCCACCTTCCAGAGATGTATGATGGCCATCTTTGACAAGCTGGTGGGAGAGATTATGGCAATATTCATAGATGACTTCTCGATGTAGGGTGATTCTTTCTCCCACTGTCTCTAGAACCTAAAAGTACTACAGAGATGTGAGGAGACAAATCTAGCAATAAGTTGAGAGAATTTTCATTTCATGGTTTGAAGAAATTAGAGTGCTATTATAAATCCAACTGCCTGAGGCCAGGCTATGGCTTTAACAAGTCCAACTAATAGATAATAAGCCATTAAAAGAGTACAGTTAACTCTTTTATTATAAACTTCTTTCCTTGTACTTTAATGCTTCCATGTAATGGCCAACATATAACCCCTATGTGACTTATTTTTTTTACTTCCTTTTGTTTTATCTTGTAAGCAAGCAATGCATAGCCATGCTATGTGTGTCACTTTGTGGTCAATTAAATCATGTTTTGGCCATGAACATAAAAGAAAGATAAAACCATTAGTAGTACACCCGTTGTGATAAGATCCAGAGCTCGTAAAAGCTTAGATTCTTTTGATCAAAGTCGCGCAATCACAATCTTTTTAGGGTGTTTTCTGAATTTCTCTCAACAACACGAAAAGTAGGAGGGGATAAGGCGGATTGAAGTCCTTGAAAATTGAGATTGAGCGTATAAAGGTGTTCATCTGGTCAATTGGCAGGAGGTGGCGGGGTTGGAAACGGAATTAAATAGACAGTGGAAGGCAGAAGAAGAGTATTGGCAGCAGAAATCTCGGGTCCGATGGTTGAAACGAGGCGATAAGAATTGTCTTACTTCCATACGGTCACGAGATCCTGTTGTAAAAGAAACTTTGTTGCTGGTCTGTATAATGATGATGGTGTGTGGGTAACGGAGGAGCAAAGGAAGGCTGAAATAGCCACCGGTTTCTACCAAACCCTCTTCACATCGGAAAGTCAAGTGCATAATATGGATGATAGGGTGGCTGGCCTCCCGATTGCGTCTAGTGTTACCCAGGAGATGAATACGAGCCTAACGGCGGAGGTCCTTCCTGATGAGATTCGAAGAACTGTTTTCGGTATGTGTTCGAAACAGGCGCCAGGCTCGGATGGTTTTACGGGGAAATTCTTTAAAGCTTTTTGGGGGATTTTCGAGGATTCAGTGATTGTCGCGGTCAGTTCTTTCTTTGAAACTAGTCGGATGCTCTGCAGCTTCAATCACACCTGGTTAACGTTGATTCCAAAGGTGGATCAAGTGGAATCCAGGCGACAACTCCGCCCTATTAGTCTGTGCCAGTTTGTGTACAAAGTGATTACCAAGATTATGGCGGACAGGTTGGCGGGAGTGCTGCCCCTAATTGTTTCGAAAGGGCAGAATGCTTTTATCCGAGATAGTCAGATCGTAGAGAATATCCTCCTGTGACATGAGTTGATGCACTATCTGAAAATCAAATCCCGCGGCAAGAAAGGATACATGGCTCTGAAGGTTGACATGGAAAAAGGCCTATGACAGAGTTGAATGGTCCTTTCTTCTCGCGGTTTTTGCTAAGATGGGGTTTAACTCTGTCTGGAGATGATGGGTGCAGGAGTGTTTGCAGTCTGCTTCGTTTTCAGTTCTCATGAATGGAGCCCCTTCTGGATTCTTTAGGTCTTCTAGGGGTCTCCGGAAAGGGGATCCTCTCTCCCCTCTTCTGTTTGTGCTGTGTACGGAGGGGTTCGCAGCCCTGCTTCAGAAGGCCATTTCGGAGAAGAGGTTAGAGGGGGTGAAAGTAGCTCCTCGCCCTCTGGCTCCCCGGATATCTCATATTCTTTGCGGATGATTCTTACTTGTTCCTCCGTGGATCACTCCAGGAGTGTGAGAATCTTATTGAAGTTCTGAATGAGTACGAGGAGCTGAGTGGCCAAAAGGTGAACTTGAGTAATTCGGCGATTTGCTTCAGTAAGAATATCTCCCTGCCGGATCAGGAGTTCTTAGGGGCAATTCTTGGGGTGGGGGCTGTGAGTGTCCATGATAAATATCTTGGCCTCCCTACCTTGATAGCACGTTCCAAAATGGCAACTTTCCGCTATTTGGAGGAAAAACTGTTAGAGCGATTACAAGGATGGAAACGGAGGACTTTGTCCAGGACGACTAAAGAGACTTTGATTAAATCGGTTGCTCTGACCCTGCCTTTACATGTTATGTCCTGCTTTAGGCTTCCCCTATCTCTCTGTCGCCTGCTAGACAAACATGTAGCTAGATTTTGGTGGGGTGTGGAGGATGGCCAATCCAAAATTCGTTGGGTGTCTTGGCGAAACTTATGCCGCAGTAAACATGACGGGGGGATGGGTTTTCGTAGGTTCGAGTTGTTTAATCAGGCTTTGTTGGCTAAGATTGGATGGCGCATTTTGACTGAGCCTCAGTCTCTGTTAGCCCAGGTTTATAAAGGGAAATACTTTCCCACTGGCTCTTTCCTCTCAGATACGGCTCGATCCCGTCCGTCTTGGGGATGGCAGAGCATTCTGTTTGGGCGCCAGCTGCTATCCAAGGGTTTACGTTGGCAGATTGGTAATGGTCAGATGGCTCCGTTGCTCGAGTCAAATTGGGTCCCGCATCAGCTTAACTTCCCCCTAGTGTTTAACCCTCTTGGTCTACCGGCGGGTGGAGAGGTGAGGGTCGCTGAGGTGATCTGCTCAGGGGAAGGGAGCTGGTGTGATGATAAGTTTAGCCAATGGTTTGATCCCCAAACTTGCAAAGTGATTAAGGCTATCCCCCTTCAAAGGGAGAATATTGAAGACCGGTTGATCTGGCAAGGCACTGCAGATGGGGTCTTCTCGGTGAAGTCGGCATACCGCCTTGCAGTTTGTTTGGATCAGCAAAATGGTCGGTGGCGAGCTCAAGCTAGTTGGATGGATAGGGAGAATTGGATCCGGCTTTGGAATGCCAATATTCCCCCTAAGATGAAGGTGTTTGTCTGGCAAATCTTTAATAGAATATTACCGACGACTGAAGCGATTATAGAGCAAAAAATTGAGGTTCATCCTCGATGCCCTGTCTGGTGGGATGCTGTGGAGACAATGGAGCATTTGTTCCTTGAATGTCCTGTGGCTAGGGCACTTTGGGATCAGTCCGGT